AGACCAACAGGAATACAATCCAGACCAACTGGAATGCAATCCAGACCAGTTGCACTGGGATCCAGACCAACTGGAACATGCAATCCAGCTGGACCATGCAATCCAGACCAACTGGAATGCAATCCAGGCCAACTGGAACACAGTCCAGACCAGCTGGAATGCAATCCAGGCCAACTGGAATGCAATCCAGCTTATCCAGGCTAACTCGAATGCAAACCAGGCCAGCTGGAACGCAATCACATTCTGCATTGCGGGCATTGCAGACAGCTGATGTATGAAACACAACACATCTGGAGTGCAATCTTCCAAGTTGCCATTGTATCCAACCCTAAACCTATGCTATGTTCATCATATGTCAGACCAGGTGGAAGTGTGATCCGAGTTAAAAGCTATGATTTTCAGAATCGGACGACTCTCGTACTAAACTTAATATGCCCAAATCATCCAATACAATTTGGGCTCCAAGGGCATACTCATACTAGCACTTTCCAAAATGCAATCCGACAGCAATTACAACCAAACGTTGACGAATCTGACTGCAATCACGTCCAGAGCTTTGTAGAAAAAGTCCTAGTGTGAGTATGCCCTTAGAGCTGATGATGAATCCTGCTAACCACTGCAACGGGAAATGATCAGTGTTGATTGATATCATCGTACAGAATGTGAATTCAGTCTTCACATATAACTATTTTGTTCGAACTCTCTTCACATATAATCTCTACACGGACATACATTGGTTTCCTGTGGATTATCCATTACCCTTTCAGACGTGACAATGAATAGTTACATGTTTATGTATAACATTCATACCTCAGCGCAGTCAGCGGTACAACGTCACGGGTTTATGGAAATCAGAGAACCAACATCATCCAAATTTAGCAGCGGGCCTAGTTAGCTCAGCTAGTGCACCCATGAACTGTTGAAATATAGACGTGAGTTCGAACTTCGAATCCAAATTGAACTAAATGAATGAAATTCTCGAAGTACCTGGTGCCAGTTAGTTCCACATAAAATGCCCTTAAAAAAAAAAAAAAAAAACAGAAAAAAAACACACCAACCCAAACAACCAACATCATCCAAATGTAGCAGCGGACCTAGTTAGCTCAGTTAGTAACACCCATGAACTGTTGAAATATAGACCTAAGTTCGAATCCAGATCGAACTACATGAATGAAATTCTCGAATTACCTGGTGTCAGTTAGTTCCCCAATACATCATCAAGCATAAACCGTAGGAAGAGAGGGAGGGAGAAGAGGACAACAAACAAGGGGCTGTTACAAACTGTTTCGTCAGAGTTTCACCGCCTCGTCAGGAGGCTGAACCCTCAACAGTCTGCAGAATCCCCTAACTGGTTGCACCGTAAGACTTTAAGTGATAATCCACCTTAACCCCGGTTGTGGTTAAGCATCAACGACTGCCCAGCAACTGATACCTTGAGGTGGGCAACAACCACTGCCCTCAGGGTACCTGTGATGAAAATTAAAGCAGACTATCACTCATCCACACCAGATGGAAAACTCCACAGACTGTCAGTTCACAACTTCACACCCCATCACAAGCCAGCAAAACACAGACGAAACAAAGAAAGGTCTGAGTTCCACTATATATTGTCACATAACTATGAACTAAACGAGCGCACTTTGCGAAACAAATGGCAAAAATAAAAAATAAAAATAAAAACAAGACAAACATGAAGGGCACACTGAAACCATTCGTTTTTCTCATTCTTCTTTTGACTCCCCTTTTACCGTGCCTCTCACGTACAAGGCTCGCCACGTTGATGACATTAGAGCGAACTGCCCCCATCCCCGTGTGCCGTAACAGCCCACTTGTACGCTGTGAGAAAGAGGCAGAGTGAAGGGGGAGGGGATAAACACAGGGAGGAGAAATGGAGAGCAGACAAACAAAGAACGATAAAGGGAAAGTAGGGGAGTGTGGAGTGAAGATGAAGGCAAAAGAGGATAAGAAAAGGCTCAAGAATGAGTCCGTCCTTGACACAGAGAGGACATACATTGTACGGATCAGTTGATTGAACACATGGAAGACCTAGCTGAGCATTCTCAGTGCAACAATTGCCACAACGGGTGGCATTCAGCATCCCCGCCATACACCCCCAACAAATGGCATGTTAATACGCCAAAATGAAAGAAGAACGGTCACCACAAAAGAGCATGCATTCAGTATAACACCCACGGCCGCAAAATGGACATATAGTGTCCGGATATGGACGGTGCCTGCAGTCAGGAACGGTGGGACAGTCCTCTGCACACATGGATGCAGAAACCATAACATTGTAGTGATTGTGACAAAGACGATGACGGCTACAGCCGAGTGTAACAGTGTTTGTGGGTGTGCAAAGAAGACGGTCGCAGAGTGTTGGTATGTTGTCTATGCTGCAGCACGGGGCCAGCGGAATGATCTTCGACATAAAAGAAAATGCGGACGGTTTGTTGTGGCAAGAAAACAGCATCATTTTGTAAGAAATCAGTGACATCAATCATGGCATGGACCATGGTGCCGTTGTCCCACAGCTCCCAGTGGTCAGAGGCATGTACAATGGCCATGTAATGGCCAGGGCCGTGCACTATGCAGGCAGAGATGTGGGATGGAGGATTAAACCACTCACCTGCTTGAGCATTGTGTAGTTCAAGTTGACGGTCCCTCATTGCTACTTGTAGGACAGCAATGGTAAAGCCTCCTTCGCTGGTATAATTACAATCCTCTGGCTGTAGTCGGGGAAGATCAGCATCAAGCTCAAGGGCGACTGCACGGAAGTCTGATAGTGTATAAAATGGGTGGTGGAGAATGTGAAGACAGATATTAGTTGCTGTCAGACCACAGAGATTGGTGAGGTTCTCAGGCTGGTTTGTTGGATGCTGGCCAACAATTTGTAGATCACCCAGATGGTGTTGCAAGCCCAATCTGTGTTGGGTTGTTTTCTGGTCAGTCATTTGCAGATCACCCATGTGGTCTGCGCGTGGCGGAGCACAAAATTGTGGTTCATCCGAACAATGTTGGTCAGCCATTTGCAGATCCCCCACGTGGTCTACGCCTTGTCAAACAGAGCTGCCCGGTAAACCGTAGGCAGAGAGGGAGAAGAGGACAACAAGCGAGGGGCTGTGGCAAACTGTTTCATCAGAGTTTCACCGACTCATCAGGAGGCTGAACCCTCAACAGTCTGCAGAATCCCCTAACTGATTACACTGTAAGTGATAATCCACCTTAACCCCGGCTGTGGTTAAGCATCAACGACAGCCCGACAACTGATACCCTGAGGTGGGCACCAACCACTGCCCTCAAGGTACCTGTGGCAAAAGTCATAGTCAAACAGAGCTGCCCGGTAAACCGTAGGCAGAGAGGGAAAGAGGACAACAAACGAGGGGCAATATATATGCCCTTCTTAAACCACCACTACCTTTCACAGGCACACGTGAAGTCCATCTAGTAGCCTACTCGTCAGAGTCTGACGGCTCAGGGCAGGCACAGCAGCCTTTTCTGAAAACAAAAAAAAAAAAAGAAGGAAAAAAACTTAAGAACTCTAATCCAGCGACGTTGGGGAAGGCCCTCGCTGATGTTTTCGCTTTTGTTTCTGTTGTTTTCGTTTCCTCACGTGCCCTGCCAGTGAGCCAGGGCGGATGAAGGCCCTCACTGATGTTTTCACTTTTGTTTTTGTTGTTTTTGTTTCCTCACGTGCCCTGGCAGTGAGGCAGGGCGGATCCCACGGCAGGCAGCTAACTGCCTCACTTCCTCGTATTCACACGAGTACTGTAGCTTCCTGTATCTGACCGTAATCACAGCATAAAGGAATCTTTTTTTTTTTCCCTTTTGTTTCTTGTTCAGCGGACAGACACCCTCACTGAGGGCGCAGTCACACTGGCACCTGGTAGAATGCATCTGATGGATATCGCGGCATTCGGGAAGTTCTTTTTTTTTTTCTTCTTCTTTTCTCGTTTTTATGTTCTTTGAACTTCTTTCGCAGATGCAACTGCCCAGGCTCGAGGAGGCGAATGGGATGTGGCAGAGGCTGAAAGGAGATGGCAGCAGGAGATGACGGGGGGAGGTGGACGGGAGGTGGCGGAGGCGGGGAGGAAAGCGAGAGAGGAGATGGCGGGAGGAGGCGAACGGGAGGTGGCAGAGGCGGAGAGGTGATGGCGGGAGGAGATGACAGGAGGCGGACGGGAGGTGGCGGAGGCGGAGGAGAAGTGGTGGAGGCAGGGAGGAAAGCGATGGTGGAAGGAGGCGGACGGGAGGTGGCAGCCCGGCAACGGGCCAATGCGTCGCCCTGCAACGGGCTAATGGCCAGCAGGTGCCGGGGAGATTCTTTTACGGCGGACCCTTTTTTTCAATGGGTGCGACAATCCAGGCCGCCTGCGGTCCTACCGGGCCGATGGCTCGGATCGTCCCGCGATCTTAAGACTTCAAGACCGCGCGACAATCCAGGGCGGACGGCCTGGATCATCGCACGATCTTAAAGTCTAAAAGTCTTAAGATTGCACGGAAATCCAGACCGTCGGAGCGGTAGAACCGTGGGCGGACCAGATCGCCCAATTCTCACGCTAGCGGTTTCTATAAGTGTAGGGATGTAATTTTGTAAGTTAACTCACATACCTGTACGTGGTACTGCAGTAACGACGGGACACTTGTGAACACTCAAGCAGGTGCTGATCAATCGGGATAATTGCTAGGTTTATAGAACACATTACACGTTTTGGGGCACATTCATAACCTTGCGAGGCCTGGACCGATCCACATGCCAGGACTATACTCTAGACGACCTGGAACTGAGCATGGACCAAGAGATATTTGTGACAGAACTGACGACCCTCAGTGATAACCGTGCTGGAGAAGACCGGTCAGCATGCCACAACCGTACTCCAGACCACCTGGGACGCAATCTGCACTACAAGCTTGGCTGACGAACTCATCCAAATTCGACGTACCTCAACCTTAAACTAGAAACCAGGAACAAAATGCACTCGGAGCTGGACCCAGAAGAGCACCTGGAACTCAGCAGTAAGTTTCTCCAGCTGCACTTGTTCGATGTACGACCGTGGCACATATGTCCCTTCCAATCCCAGCTGTCTTCCTATTTCGTCCACCTGTTGCCGGTCCTTGCCTTGAATCTACCCCCCCACCTCYCCCCCCCCCCCAACCCCAACACACACACACACAAACAATCACACAAAATTATGAAAAATGAATTAGAATTTGGAGCTCAAATCCTTCGTTCAATTTTTCCAATCGCAAAAGCACGCATCCCCTCTCATCCCCTCCAATCACATAAAAACAATTATGCAAAAATTTTCACCAATGAGAACCAAACCAGAACTGTTTTTTGTTCGGACTCTTCACGTATAGTCTCTGCGGATCCTACACAGACATATGTTGGTTTCCTGCGGATTTTCCATTGTATATTGAAATTCATTCAATAAATAGGTTAGGACTTTCCCGCATATAGTGAAGTAATAAGGTCAGAGATTACTCATCTGACACAGCATTGACGGCAATGAGTTTACCACTTACATCGGCAACAACCGAACCCTTGGAACAACGACCTACCACCATTACTGATGCGGTAAGACTATGCCTTCACCATATTCACTGCAGTCACCTGTAAGAACTTAGGTACGAGCCGTATGAATGATGTGTGCAAGAAAGACAGAGTCGGACACATCATTCTCATCACAACAGACAGAACCAGAAGGTTCGATTAACAACTTTTTGAAAGTTGCTACTGCTGAGAATGTGGCGCGTGCTGCTATTCCATTAGGAATTAAGTCAGTTGAAGTGAGAATCAAAGATTTAGGTTATGGAAAGCCTTCATCCTTACTTGGTTTACAATTAGGAGGTCTTATTATAACCGAGATTAGCGATGTAACTCCAACGCCACATAACGGATGTCGTCCTCCTAAGAAACTCCGCATATAATATCATATCATCGCTTCTGAGGATTGGCAGAGGCACGAACGAAGGAAGTAGTCAGCCTAGACAGAGGATTAGCAGCAACTCCACGACTAGAGTAGCAGCAGCATCGAGGTAGCATCGATTATAGGCTCACTCAGGCAGTGGTGACGAGAAGTACATCCTTCCAGACCGGAATAATCAATGCCGCCTACTCAGGTCTCTCTACCACAAAGGGGAGAAGCATTGGAGTAGGTGTAAGTTGTACTTCTGACTTGCCGGTGGAATAGGAACCAGACTGACGCTCCCCAGAATGGATATTGAGACCAAAGTCTTAGTGCAATTCTGAGAATTGGGGATGTGTGCTTGACCTCTCAACTCCTCCCATCCCAACTTGTCTACCCTATACTTTATCCTTCCCATCCCAGCTTCACCACACATTACCCTGCCTTCCTCGCTGCCACATATCTGTCTAACAACAGTGATGGTGCAGACCCAAGAATCACCAAAGCGGAGAGAAACAACGATAAAATGCAATGGTAGAGTGCTTGGCAGTGCATGCGTCCTTAACCACCGTGCACTGCAGCGTGCAGCACATGACAGTCACCGGAGCAAATTGTGTCAGGTGCGACACGACTCGTATGAAAAGCATCCCTCTATCGACTTCATGTCGAATCACTGGTACAGAGAACCCATTTAGAGCGCACTCAAGACTCATTGAAGAAGGGGGGAAGGGGCGGGGGGGGGGGGAACAAGAGTGGGAAAAGACACGAGGGACCATCACTCTTACCCAGGGATCGAGGGGGGAAGGAGGGCAGTGGCAGGGGCAGGAGAGAGGGAAAAAGAAAACATCACCACCTACAGGACCTGTTACGGCCTTGCCCGCAATACAAACACAAAACAAAAGAAAAAGCTGTGGCCATCATGAATGCGTCTTCATTCCCACCCCGAGGATGCAGAATGCGTGCACACCTGTACTCCATTGTTTCCAGTCCCCTATCCTCCTCTTGGGATGGAAAATGAGAGCTAACAGAAAACACCCTCCCTCTCTCCTCATCCCGTTGAAGCAGGAGCCACACACTCCTCGTTTTGATGAATCAGTCTTCTCACCTCCTCTTCAAAAGCAAAAACAAAATTAAGAGAACATACTACGTCCAACGCTCATCCTGCCCTGTTCTCTCTTTTCCCTCCTCCCCCATCATATCTGCTCCTATCACAACTACCTCCTGCAGAGTCCCTTGACCCCCTCCAAACCTCCCCCTCATGTAACGACTTTTTTCCCACCCATCAGCTCACACCCAAAAACAAAAAATTAGAAAAACAATATAATTGTATTTAAAAGATCTTGCACTTTCTGTAACGACCCTTTCCCCCCTTTCTCCGCTACCCCTCTCACTCCTATCAAAGCACCTCCCTGCTTCTTCACTTCTCGTTCTCCCTCCTGTTGAGACTACCTCCTACAGAGTCCGTTCACCCCCTTCTCTGCTCCCCGTTCCCTTCGCCCCACAACTTCCCCATCCCTTTGCCTCCTATCGCAACTACTTTCCCTCCTCCCACCAGTCTTTCCTTCCTTTTCCGCCTCCTCTCTTCCCCTCCTACAGTGCCACCTTCCCCTGCCACCTTCCCTCCTGCCACTGTTCTTTCGCCTGTTCTCCACTTCTCCCCACATTCTATTGCAATCCCCCTTCCTATCACAGCCCCATTTCCCCCTTCCCCCTCTATCGCAACTCTCTACCCTTATCCAAGTTCCCCCATCCTCGCGTTGCCATTGTTTCTTCCCCACTCCCCCCTCTGCCTACTACTCCCTTCCCCCTTTCCTCTCTCATTCCCTTCTCCCCCTATTGCAACATTCTCCCTCTTAACATGGCTTGTCCCCGTTTCTCTGCCCTCATATCCCCTTCGTATGGCAACTACTTCTCACTTTTGCCCCTTTCCCTCCCTTCTCTTCGCCCCGGTACCTCATTCCCCCCTTCTCTTGCAATCTCTGCCCCTCGTCCCGACCTTCAGCTGCTGCGACTTCTACCCCTTTCCCCACTTCCATTTTCTGATACAACCGTCCTCTTCTCACTTCCCCTGCTACCTTCAGTTCTTGTGACTTCTACCCCTTTCCCCACTAACATTTTCTGAGACAACCTTCCTCTTCTCACTTCCCCTGCTAACGAGATCTGTTTCCCCTCTCCTATCACGACTTTTCCTACTCCCTCCTCCTCCTTCCCCCTGCTATCAAAGAGCTTTCCCCCTCCTATCCTGGGTTTTCTCTACTTCTCTACTCCGCAACTATTTCCCCAAACCCTCCACCTCCCCTCCCCTCCTATTGCTACTCTTTCCCCCTTTCCTGCGCTCACCCTCCGCCTCCATCTCCTATTGTGACACACACCCCATCTCCCCAAACAACAGAGATCGTTAGGGCACTAAGGCACAGGGGCACTCTCGAGACAGAAAACACACTTTCAAGCTGGCAGAGAGAGAGAGAGAGAGAGAGAGAGAGAGAGAGAGAGAGAGAGAGAGAGAGAGAGAGAGAGAGAGAGAGAGAGACCAGGGCGCATGGGGTAGAGAGAGCATGGAGCAGGGAGAACAGAGACAGGGAGAAGGGAGAGGTGTGTCTCTCTCTCTCTCTCTCTCTCTCTCTCTCTCTCTCTCTAGCTTCACACAACCTGCTGCTTCCAGGCGCTGATTTTCCCACGTCCTCCTGCCATCAGATGGGGGCCAGGGAGACTGCTCGCCCCCCCTTCCCTCCAGTCTTCACGACCTTCCCCAACCTCCCATCTCCACACCCTCCTGCAAGGGCATATCGTAACAGGCAGCAACAGACCAACGGCCGTCCCAAGGCAAAAACACTTCCTAGATAAAACCAACGGAACAAAACAAAGCAGACATAAAGTAGTGGCACAATTGCATGCACATTTAAAGGTGTGAACACCACGTTTCGGAAATTAGGCATGCACCCATATTTCTGGTTGTCCCATTCAGTGGGCCTCGTCAACCGACAGTCTGCACTGACGGCCAATCTTTAAAACTTGATTTCAATCAAGGTCGTTGCATTCAAGATTTAATACATTTCTAGGCAACAATCAACGTGCCATCACCGAACAATCAACGTGCCATCACCGCCCCATACGAATTCGAGGATGGGCAAGTTTGGAGCCTTATCACAGTTTACTTCTTTTTATAATGGAGGGGATAATGAATCTGCCAACGGAGATTCGAACCCACCACCTGGAGGAAGTAACACGTGAGATCCCAACCTACCTGGATATAGCACCGTCGCAACTGCTCAAACGTGTCCAACTTAATCGTGACATGATCGTCATGAAACACATGGCTGCTCCTCTTCAAGATTGTCCCCATTTCGTATCCCAACGCCATCAGTCCTCCCAGAATACGAACACTCACTTCAAATGTAATGCGGGGAGATATGATAAATGGCCCATCCGTAACCCATTCCTGCAAAACACAAACACCCAGAAACAATATTGAAACTAGAATTAAAATTATTAAATAACAAAAAAAAGACAGGAGTGACAGGAAAGGTCAAGCAGGAGGAACCGGCAAGGAAGCAGGGGTGGAGCAGTGGAACATCCTTCCAGAGTGAAGGTAATCAATGCCACTGCCTCGGGATCTCTAGGCCGTAACGAAGACGTGCGTTGGAGTGCTTTTCATGTAAGGGACACTGGACCCCCAGCTACATTAGAATTAAAAAAGTGCTTAAGAAAAAGAAAAAAGAAAAAACTAAAAGAAAATCACAGATGAATGGGCCACATGTCACCCGCTCTTGCAAAAAACAAACACACAAGAAATACAGAGAAGATAGGCATGGCCCCATGCTGGGGCCCTGATGGTGACACACATAAATGCCATAAACCAAGAAATGGTCCAAATTGAAGAAAAAAAAAAAAAAGAGAAAAAATGGAAAAAAGAAAACAACTAAAAGAATTCGCCAACGATGACACTCAGAGGAGTTCAGTTGCATTCGGTTTGTTTCTATGAAAAAAACTCTCCCCCCCATTCTCGGGAATATATCAGACATCTAGACTGAAAGTGAAATAGAAAGATGTGAAATACTACTAAACTAGTTTAACTAGACTTACACAATGTCTCTGCCCAATGGGTAAACGGTACATCATTGTATAGTATGCATATCGTAGTATGATTATACCCACCCTCTGCCACGTAAAGCCGTACACCAAGTACTAGCCCACAGCCTCGCCAGGGAAGAGTTGAGGGCCTGCCTAGATAGGGGCTATGCTTTTGCCCGAGTTCAGCTGGTGAGGCAGCCCGACATTCAGACATGGGCGACATCCTGTGAAACAGTATCCACGAGATGTCTGGTTAGACATGAGCTACATCTGACATGATAGGACCAGGCCTGGGCAATGGGCATTGCAATACAACCAAAGGAACACAGCAAAATAGTCCGCATCTTGTTATCAGGAAATAAAAAAAGCTTAAACCACCAGTACTTCCTATAGCCCTGCCCGTATACAAGCCACGATTTTAGGAACGGTACAGGCCACTACAGGAGCGCCGGAATTCATCCGACTAGAACGTTTCCACTCTATTTTTTCCCGCAGCCGATAGCTGGGCCAAGTACTGGTGGTTTAAGAACCTTAGCAACCTGCACTTTACTCCACTCCACCCCCCATCAGGAAATACAAAAAGCTTAAACCACCAGTACTTCCTATAGCCCTGCCCGTATACAAGCCACAATTTTAGGAACGGTACAGGCCACTACAGGAGCGCCGGAATTCATCCGACTACAAACGTTTGCAGTCTATTTTTTCCCGCAGCCGATAGCTGGGCCAAGTAATGGTGGTTTATGAACCCGAAGC